ATGATATTATCAATTCAGACAGAACTAGTCTCAAAGGACTGCTGAGCCCTTGACATTAAATATTAAAGCAAGACTACATTTCTTTGGATGTAAAGAGGCAAAATAATAAGCATAACCTTTTCCTATCTTGACCTGCTTATATTTACAGGTCTGTTTGAAATTTTACTACCTCCTCATATCTTCCCTTCCAAACACAAATGGGTTAATTGTAGTTTTTCCTTAAATAAGCTAGACTGTTCTTGGCATGTCTTCCCTGACCTATTATATCTGATAAATTTCTGTTATTCTTGAAATAGTCAACTGAAAGGTTCCAAGTCTCTGAAATTCTTCTCTAATGTGTCAAGCAGTTAATCCTTCATCTTCAGCATGAGTACTTTTTTTGCCCAGAGTTAATACACATACATTTTCATAGATACCCTGGAGGCTTCTTTAGGACAGAGATTGTGTTTTTCTTCATTTGAAGGAAATGGACTACTTGACAAGAGAGGAGGTGCCTTAGCACCTACTCTTTTCTAAGGAGGAAATCGTAGATACCCTGTGATGGAACCTGGGCATCACCATTAATTACCCTGTTACAACCCAATAAAAGATTGTTCATCAACTTTCCTTTCTTACTGCTATCAAGCCTTTTTTTAAACATTAAAATTTATAGTTGTCACCTTCTCTTTCACCTGTCAAAGGTCCTAATTAATAGTACCTTGTCTGTACAATTTTCTTTTGAGAAATTTGCTTTTGCAAATCTTTTGATTTTATAAAATTTTCAAACAAAAAATGTTTTGTAAATCTCTAAACTATTAGTTTTAGTTTTTTTCTGTTTCCATATTTAATGTTCACGAAATCATAGAACACTCATGCTCCAACTCAAAAAATGTCTTGGAAACAGAACAGGGAGAATCTTTAGTAAAGAACTTTAATAAGTGTGTGTGTGTGTGTGTGTGTGTGTGTGTGTGTGTTTACAAGTTACAACAGGCAATGTATTTCATATGTAGGTTCAGGTTAAGAAACAAAAAATCTGCTTAATTTTGGATATAAAATATTAGATAATCTTGGCTGCACATGTGCACATTTTTCATTCATGTTCTTTTGCAATTTTTGTTGCATTGAATCAACCCAAAATGCTGATGTCTTACCATGGCTTCCTTAGCTTAAAATTTGGATGCTTTAACCTGTACTTATCTTTTGTGGCAATGCAAACACTAATGTCAAAATAACCAAGTGCCTCCCAACTTGAAAACTACAGTTCAGAAATATGACATTATTTGTATTAAACATTCTTCTCTTGGTTTCTTTTCCCATTGCCTAAAGAAATAGCAATTTAGTCAAGCTAAAAGTAGATTGTAATTTAATGCTTATAAATGATATTTCACTCTGTACAGTATGTTCACAAAAAAAATAAAATAAAATTTTAAAAATGATATTTCATATACAAGGATACTGAATAAAAATAGAAAGTAGAGTGATAATTTTGGAAGGGGTAATGACATTGATTCAGACACAAAGTATTCACAAAGTGCTTCATTGAATGGCAACTCCTTTGTGCAATTACTTAAAGATAATAAAAATATTTTAAAAAGAAAGTAGGATATTTTTTTAAATTAGTACCATATTCCAAAATACTATTGTTTCCACCTTGTTGTATGTATTTGAAATCCTGTTCTTGTTTCCAGGAGCCTCATAATATTTATAAAACTGGAATAGGAAAAGGGAATGCTTTATTATAGGCAGCTTTTCTTTAAAGCATCTGAGCTTCTGGATGTCTGTATTTTTAGCTCAGTTTCTCTGAATATCATATGCAACTTAATATTCTCAACTTAAAACACAAATCTGAAAAGTACCACTACCTTCAGTCTTCATTTCAGCATGCATTTTATATGCAAAGAAAGTCTTAGCAAAAAAAAAAAAAAAAAAAATCTTCATCAGCATTTGTTTCTGAGAGACCTAAGGGTATAGATAATTCTAAATTACTAATAGAAATATTATAGGATTTGCTATTGTATATTTCATTGAATAAACTTCCCTGCTGCAAGAGTAATTATTTGCCTAGGAACTGTTAAGAAATCCACAATCGGCAAAGGCAGAAATGTCCCTACTCATTGAATTCCTCATCTTAGTTCCACTTAATAACATTTTTGCCTCCCTAAATGCCACAAAGTACAGTTAAGTGCAGTTTCATTTTATGCTTGTTTTTGCTGTTCTGTCTTTTGGCCTTACCTCTTCTTCCTTTTCTTTGTTTTTATTTTTCCTTCTGCAAATGAAAACTGGGTTGCTGTGAAAATACATATGGGATACATAAAGTTCATAGTGCAATCTAGGTGGAAGTTTCAAAGGTTTTCCACACACATGAACCCAGCCCTATCACCAAAGTTTCATATGGTAGAGGTTCCATTCCAAGGGTACTGTTACTTATTGGGAGGTGGCCTTGAGCCTGGAAGAGGTAGGAACTAGTGGGAGATCATTTGTTCATCCGAATACTGTTCCAGGAAGGGAATACTGATCTCTTGAGTAAGTTCTCAAGAGGAGAAGGTATTACCAAAGCCTGATCCTGGTCCCTGTGTTTCTCTTGAGCTTGCCTTGCCATGTGATTTTCTTTCTCCTGCATTTCTCAGCCCTTACAACAGCTACTATGTTTGTTGGACTTTAAGGTTCTAAAACTGTGCAATAAATAGATCCCTTTTGTTTGTAAGTAACCCCCCTTTAGTTGTCCTGCCACTGCAACAAAAACTGGCTAAGTACATAAGTATTTACTGTAGATTTACTGTAGAATATTTTAAATTATGTTATGTTTGAAAATCGTCAATAAAATCTCTTAGGAGTAAATATCTACGAAGGATGGGATTACAGGATCTTTCACATTCCTTATTTAAGTTTATTACAATTATATTAGAAGAGAAAAACAACATCAAATCCTCCTTGCCTTTACCTCCTGAGTACTGGAATTACAGGCATGTACCACTCACTATACCTGGCTAAAATTATTCTTCTAAAAGCTGTATCTTCATGAATGAAGATGGACTGTTATTGACTTACAATTCTACATATTGAAATTTGTATTAGACCATGCTTAAGTAATTGAAAAGTGTTTAAAGATTCACTTGTATGATGATGATCACATCATTACAATAGTGCATTGGTTTTGTAAATTGTGGTAAATAAATCATTGATGGAATACTGTAGAAAAAAATGCACTGACTTAAAAAAAAAGGTACTTAAATATGACCATATAAAATGATGCCACTCTAAATGAACTCCAAAATACTGGAAACAAGAGGGCCTTTGGGAGTTTTTATTTTGTTTTTTTGTTTTTGTTTTTTAATGTACTGTGTAAAGTTACTTCTTTTTTCCTTCTTTTTTTTTGGTTCAGTTTCTGTTTTCCTTTGGTTTATCCCCTGCTCACTGTTTTTTATTTTGGTACCCTGTGTCTTGTATGTATGTTTATCTGATTTGGGGAAGGGGAATAACAAAACGATGAGATAAAGGACAAAGGGTGAACCAAGGCAACAGCAGTACTTACAAGACACTATATTGGACATGGACTTTACACCTTGGTGGGGAGGGGAACAGAGAGGGGGAGGAAAAGTGGTAGAAAACAAGGGAGGGGGTAACAATGTTCAACAAGTAATGTACTTATTATCTTACTTATGTAACTGTAGCTCCTCTGTACATTACCCTTACAACAAAATAAAATAAAATTTCTCACCCCCCCAACCCAAGAAAAAGGTACTTAAAACATATTTTTATTCTGGCCTGGAAATTAAACTTATGAATATAACATATGCATATTTATCTATACATATATATATTTATATACATATATGTGTGTATGTTACTTCTGAGTTAGGAAATTATACTTTTCTGTTTTGCCTAAGAAAAAATTCTTACTTAATTTACTGTTGTAAGAAAAAAATGAAAAAATAACTTGCTATTTTTCTACTAGCATAGAGCAAGGAAAACTTGATATCTTTACATATTTTTTTTTACCAAACTGTTCCTATAAAGAATGTTCTTGATGTGTAAAAACAAATAGTATCATTCATACTTCTGAAGATATTTTTGTGGGGGCCGCTAGTGACTTTTGAAAGGAAGTTAAGATGTTTTCATGCTATTGAGCCCAAGGCATTTCATACTTGGAAAAAGCCTATCTTTAATCTCTAATTACATTTAAATTTCTATGTCTGACTCATACAGAAAGGAAGCTTCAAAGCAGAAAAAAGCAAAATCCTCAAATAAGCATTGATATAATTCAGATAGTGTGACATCTATATGCCAACATTCCTGCATGTCCTACAGGAGAATTCAAAGATGCGCCAGTTAAATAGTAAAAATGTTATTTATTATGGTTCTTTTTTTATTAATAAGTTTTTTATTGTGAAAATACGGTACAGAGGGGTTACAATTACATGAGCAAGGTAATGAGCCCATTTCTTATCAAGTATTGTTGCCTCCTCCTTTGTTCTTTCTATAAGTGTATTTTTTCATTTATTTTAATTTAACTGTCAAGGTGATGTAACGAGGGGTTACAGTTACATACATAAGGTAGTAATTACATTTCTTGTCTAACTTGTTACCCCTCCCTAATTTTTCTCCCTCTTTCCTTCCCCCTCTATAAGTATATTTAAGTGATTTGTAGACAGTCTTTTTAATAGATCTCTAAGAGTTATGGATAAAGAGGCCAGATGATTATTGAGACACTTTTTCATCCAGCCAAAATTTCTCAAATACTTTGACTCTGAACTTTATGTTTTTAGTTATAGCTTCCCCTTTTTTGTTAAGACAAACAAGATAGCAATGACAGTAAAATCAGAAGAAATATGGTTAATCTGTGGGCTCCTGTCCTCTAGTTTTCTCGTAGACTATTACATGAAACTTGTAATTTATTCTTTTATGTGTATCCACGTAAGTATACATTTACCTATTCTCCTTTATCCTCGTGGTATAGTCTAACTGTATATACTTAGTGTCTCACAATATTTAATATGCTCTTAATCTCTTGTCTTTTGCAGGCAAAATGTCTAGTGATCGAGCTTTGAGGAAACAGCAACAATTAAACAACCTTGTTTATGTGGTGATGAATCAAGCTAAACCTGGTGACAGAATTGTGGATTTCTGCAGTGGTGGGGTACTATATATAAACTTTTATCTTTTTTATCTTTTCCATAACTAGATGACTTTTCTATATTACATTCAAGGTCATGTTTTTATTTGATAAGATTATTATCATGAAATGAGCAAAATCCATGGGGACTAAACTTAATTTGATTTTTTTGCTGACTTTTTTTCAGGGCCACGTTGGAATAGTTCTTGCTCATATGCTGCCGTCATGCCAGGTAAAGCTGAATAAAGGAAAAATTTAAGCTAAACAAGTTTCAGCTTCCCAAGTCTAGCCTACTCTTCCTTCTTGAGCTCCTAATCTTTTTTTTTTTTTTTTTCGGTTGGTCATAGGGTTTGAACTCTGGGCTTCGGCACTGTCCCTGTGCTCTTCAGCTCAAGGCAAGCACTCTACCACTTGAGCCAAGCAACACTTCCAGTGTTCTAGTAGTTTACTGGAGATAAGAGTCTCAAGGACTTTCCTGCCCGGGCTGGCTTTGAACTGCAATCCTCAGATCTCATCCTCAGATCTCAACCTCCTGAGATCTAAGATTACAGGCATGAGCCACCGGAGCCTGACTTTGAGCTCCTAATCTTTTAACCACCTCAAACAATGAGGCACAGGCATTTTCTTTTTCCTTTGAAGTAACTTTTGAGATTTATAATCTTAAAGGGGGTAAAGAGGATGTAAAATAGGACCACAGTGCAGTTACCAATTTTTTTAATATAAAGATACATATTTTACTATATAATATATGTCACATAAAGTATGTCTAAAACATGTAAATATATGCATATGTTTAATTTTTAGAAGAAATAACTATCCCATTACTAAATAAAATACTTTTCAACTAATTTTCAAGATCATTTTAAGTAGAAATGATAACTTCTAAAAGTTGGTGGGCATGATATTTTAGTATTCTTTTTTTGATCTACTGCATAAAAATTGGAATAATTTCTTAAATTTAATAAGCAAAACCAAGTCTGTCATATTGATTTATCAAAAAAATTTTCTTTCCTTGCAATTCAAATCACTGTCTACATGGACATTTGCTGTTCCAAACTCTAAAAATGCAAATTAGTTCCATGCTATCATTCAATACTGTATCTTAAATGTTTTTCTATTGCTAGTAGTTATACACATTATATTTGAGTAACTACACATTTAAAGTGAATATACTATAGTTTATTCAATCATTGCTATTGTTTGTCCTGTTTTTATTTTTCTGCCATCTTAAATCAGCTCTTCACAGTGATCATCTTTTAAGTCTTTGGGGGGGGATATCATCTCTCTCTTTTTTAATAAGCTCATGTGAATTGTCTAGATGGTATGCAGTAATTACAACAAATACTTTCTGAAATAAACTGGATGAAAAATATGATAAACTGGTTTGATTGGCATATGACAAAGTTCTTCTATGAAGACAAGCATGTGGATAAAATAATAAACAGGAATGATACTGATGAGAATGTCTTCATTCCACCCACAGTTACTGCTCAAGGATTTTGTTGCACTTTATCCACACCAATCCACACTAATCATTACCTGATGGAACCTATCTCTCTCTCTCTCCTCTCTCTCCCCCCCTCTCTCTCTGCTTTTCCTGAGCGTAAACTTTGCCTGGGCAATGTCCCTGCATTTTTTTTGCATAAGGCTAGTGCTTTAGCACTTGAGCCACAGCTCCACTTTTTTGGTACTTAATTGTAGATAAGTCTCAGAGACTTTCCTGCCTGGGCTGCAGTCCTCAGAGAAGCTAAGATTACAGGCATGAACCACTGGCACCCAGCCTGTTGGAACCTTCTTATCACGAGTGTATGATCAAATTGGGCTTGGTGGCTTATTCCTGTAATCCTGGCTACTCAGTAGGTAGAGATTGGGAAGATCGAAGTTCAAGGCAAAGCACAGGCAAAGTATTAGCCACACATCATCTTGTCAATCAAGCTGGGTATGATGACACACATCCATAATTTCAGGTACACAAGAGAGGCTATAGGTAGGAAGATAAAGTTCTGAAGACAGCCCAGGCATAAAGTGTGAGTCCTCATCTGAAAAATTAACTAAATTCAAAAAAAGAGCATAGTCAAGAGGTACAAGGCTTGTCTAAAAGCTCCTTACCAAACACCAGTACTGTTTAAAAAAAAAAACAAACATAATCTGACTCCTCCTGCCTTCTCTCCATTCTGTACAGTTTGTCCTTCACTTCCCACTATCACCATCACACATACTCTATCCAGCTGTACTAGCTTAATTAGTTCTTTGGACACACCAAACTCTTCCTTACCTCAGTATTTCCCACTACTGAACATGCCTCGGTTTCCTATCTAAATTTGTTTCGTTTGCAAGCCCCAGTTATATCCAATTCCTAATGAAAACCTTCCTTGGTCTGGCTGTGTCCCAACCCTCCAGATTGTCTTCCACTAAGCACTTCAACACTGTAGTATTATTGCTTCTTTCACTTATATCACTGTACCATAGGCTTGAAGAACAATTCAAGGAGTTGTTTGTTTTGTACAAGTTAATCTGGTATATTTCCTGACATAGACTAGAAAATCAATGTAATATGTTCAGCATTATTAATGCTATGAAATATATTAGTAATGTTTACCCTAACACTTGAATTATGTTACTGAATTTACTATTTCCTACTGGGTAAAATCTAGGTTACATTAATAGAAAACAAGGAATTGTCATTAATTCGTGCTAAGAAGAGAAGTGACGAACTAGGTTTAAGCAACATTTGGTTCATTCAAGCAAATATGGAGTATTTTACAGGAATGTTTAATATTGGGGTAAGTAAACAAATTATTTAAACTTATTTAATTAGCTACATAAGAAAAAAATAAGAAACTTAGAATAAATAAGGCAGGTAGTTTCATAGCCTTTCCTAAACAAGAAAATATGTAACTTTCTATAGTCACATATAAAGTATCATATTGATTAATATTATTTCATTCATGGCACCTCATGAATAAGTTTCTTCCAGTAGGTTGGAATTTATTTTATTTTATTTTTTTGGTTGGTCCTGGGGCCTGAACTCTGGGCTTGGGCGCTATCCCTGCACTCTTCAGCTCAAGACGAGTGCTCTACCACTTGAGCCACAACACCACTTCCGGTTTTCTAGTGGTTTATTGGAGATAAGAGTCTCACGGACTTTCCTTCCCCGGGCTGGCTTTTGAACCACAATCCTCAGACCTCAGCCTCCTGAGTAGCTAGGATTACAGGCATGAGCCACCACGGGTGCCCGGCTTGGAATTTATTCTTTTACCAGGCAATCTCTAATGCTGAAAACAATGTTTGGCATATAGAAAGTACTTAAAAGGTTATTGATTCAATAAATGAATTCAAATAATGCTGACTTGCCTTGGTTTATTCTGTACTTTTAGGAAAAAATAGAATTTTGCCACACTACCAGGTGATAAATAGTATCTTAAGGTGGTTTAGCTTTTTTTTTTTTTGGGGTCCGGTCGTGGGCCTGAACTCTGGGCCTGGGCGCTGTCCCTCAGCTCTTCAGCTCAAGGCTAGCGCTCTACCACTTGAGTCACAGCACCACTTCCAGCTTTTTTCTTTTTGCTTATGTGGTGCTGAGGAATCGAACCCAGGGCCTCATGCATGCAAGGCAAGGGCTCTACCACTAAGCCACCTTCCCAGCCCCTGGTTTAGCATTTTTTTAAAATTTTGAGTAATATTGGCCAACTTTTAAGGATTAGTTACATGTTTTAGTTTATAAAATGTTCGGATCTCTTGTATATTTTAATACTTGATCATTGGGCTTTTCCATTATCTTTAGAAGCTTATTATACATTATAGATATTAACTCTTTATATGCTACAAATTTTAAATCATTTTCCTATTTGTTTCTTTTTACTTAATAGAGCTTATGTGCCACCAAGATATTTTATTTTAATATTTTTCAACTTATTAACCTTACCTCTTAATGTTTATGTAACTTTAGGATCTTTAGGAAGTATTTACAATTCTGCTATGGAAGAATTCACCCATGTTTTATTGCTTGCCTTTTAAATCTCTAATTCATTTGACATTTTCTATATGTGATGAGAAGAAATGAATTTTTATTTTTTATAGAGCTATCAGGTTAATCTAACATCACTTACTAAAAAAAAAAAATCTACCTTTCCTAGTTTGAAATACCACTTTTTGGATATGCTAATTGTCATATTTAAGTATCTATTGGTCTGCATCTTATTATTATTTGCCTGTTATATCTGCTGTGCATTTGATGACAATAAAATTAGGATTATGTGGTACAGTTAAATCTGAGACTTAAAATCCATTTCATAAGTAGCTTAGATTTGTTTAAATAGGGAAAGAAATTCAGGCTTTCATATGTAGCAGAAGAAATGTGAATCAAAGTAGAGACTTACTGAAATAGAACTGTCTCAACTTTTCTTTATTCCAAACCTCAATAGGGGTTTATTTTATTTTATCTTATGGAGAAGCCCCTGATGTACTTAATACATGGGATCATGCTTTGAAGTTCTGCCTCTCACAAGCTGTTTTGTTGCAAGTCTTAATTTATACAAGCCTTAAGTTCCTCACTTCTAATATAGAGACATAATAGAGACATTCTTTGGGGGCTGATGTGAGCCTGCCATTACCCAATACAGTGCTGCACATAAAGGGCACTCAGTGACTAGAAAGGGAAATGCATCCATAACTTGTGCCATGAGATTTTCTCTAGCTATTCACGAAAATAAGAATTAGCCTGATTAAATAAAAGGGGCAGATGAAGACTCAAAGTTCTTTACTTTTACTACCTGGTAGTTGTTGTTGCCCTCCCTGAATGGCAGCCTTGGTAGGTTCTTTCTTAGCATGAAACAGGAAAGGTGGATTGACAGCCACGTCAAGATTGTTACTGTGCATGTGGGGAAAGGAGATCCTGGGGCTTGAACTCAGAGCCTGTGTACCATCTCTGAACTTTTTTGTTCAACACTGGTACTCTACAACCTGAACCACATCTCCAATTAAGTTAATTGGAGATAAGAATCTCAGACTTTCCTGCCTGGTCTGGCTTCAAATCATGATCCTCAGATCTCAGACTTCTAAGTAGCTGGGATATCAAGCATGAGCCATGTGCCCAGCCAAGATTGTTGAATTTTCTGTAACCCGTGTAAACCTACGAGGAGGGGAAATTTTAGGGGAGTTGAGAGCTGAGATCTTGTTTTTAACTAATGTTCAAAAGGAAAATCTAGCTTTCATACTTTATATCCAAAACTTCGGGAAAATGCTCCATTTCATCTTCAGAGCTTCACCCTGCCCTAAGGTTGATGAGATCCATCCCTCAAAAGTAAACTATAACCCAATATAATTTGTATTCTAGAGAGAGATATTCATAAAGATATGAATATTTTTCTAGCAAAATATAATTTTATCTTTCAGGATGCTCACATGTGAATTTCCTTCATCAAATCCCATTTTGCCTTATTTAGCCTACTAATGATCATAGTTGTCTACTCTGGATTATAATTAGCATAAACATAATAGTGACATATGATTTGAAATAATTTTAAAACTTTTTACTTTTATGAACTGTTGATACCCTCGTCATTATTCTGATGATTCCATTCCTTCCTTTTAAAATAAGTCCAGTAAAATCAGTCTGTGAATTCTATCACTGTATATAGAAAAATCCTAGAAAGATGCTACATATACATGACAGATTGGATTATACTCCAATAGCATCCAGAAAAGTATTTTGAAATATATCTGTTAAGTAGTTTATAGTTGAGAAGACAAACATCCCAAGAAATTTAAGGGGTCTAAGGCCTCAGAGCCATCCTAGAGTTCTAGTCTAGAAATTCTCATAGAAATTTTCATTTCTTCAAGTCCAGTGTTTTTGCCACAGTGCTATAACTGAATTAAATTCATAATCAGTGAAAGTGCTAGTTTAAACATTCAATTTTCTACATTTATGATTGTATTACATTTCCCATTGAATGAATCTTTTTTTTCCATTGAATGAATCTTGAGCTTCATTTGCAGTGCCATTTTCTTTTTAATCATTCAACCTTAGTTAATTTCTTAATTAATATGAACAACGAAATAGCCACTGGTATGTCCAATTGAAACTAGTTAAACTATAACAAATATTCTGTTAATTTGAAGTCCCCTACGGATTTCAATTTCAGTCACTTTTTTTTTTTTTTAAGACACAAGGGTTATTCTGTTAGTTTAGAATGAACCTAATGGTAGGGTCTGATTTTACCTTCTAGGTAGCATTGCATGCCTGTGGTGTGGCAACAGACATGGTGATTGAGCACTGCATCAAAACACGGGCTTCCTTCGTCACGTGCCCTTGCTGTTACGGCTTTATTCAGAACACTTCCAAGTTTAAGTTTCCCAAAAGGTGACAGTATTCTTCTACCTAAGATGTCAATATGGAGATAAATTAGTACAGATGTGTTTATATAAAGTTGTAATATTTCATTTTGAATACCTGACTTTCCACAATGGCAAGTATTGTTTATAAATTGTGTCTTCCTGAGGAACTGTGAAAGAACGAAGTGCCTTTTCAATGCTGATTACCTCTTGATCTATTGGCCCCACAAAACCTGAATAATAATAAAGCTTAGAGTGAAACACTATGTGTTTCTATGAAGAGACAAGTTGTTCTTCTCTGTCTCAATGATCTGTGAAAGACATTCTTTTATTTTTTTTAATTTTAATTTTTATTTTTGTGAACATACTATACAGAGGGGTTACAATTACATGGGCAAGATAATGAGTACATTTATTATCAAGCATTGCAGCCTCCTCTGGACATTCTTTTATATTAACATACTGAGGATAAGATATGCTTTTATCTTTTTATAAAGACATTTCAGGCATGATTTTTACATCAACATTTTAATTTAAAATGCTCCAATAGATATTTTTATTCATAATTTAGTTTATTCAATATTCTTAACATTTAGAATAACTATTTCCTTTTTCCTCTCTATTTCAGTGAACAATTTAAGAAAACTTTATCATACAAGGTAAATTTAAAAAGATCTAAGTGTCTGCCTTATACTTTTTGTGTTCTCTTTGTTTTTCTGCCTCAGATTTCTAATGGATTAAGTGATCTGTAGCTATCATTAAATCACTTATAAATGTAATATGTAGCACATTCATGTATATATCTCTAGGTGAACTCTTCCAGTAGTTGACAGATTGATGACGAATCTGAGGTTAGCTTGCCATAGTGGATGCTAACAGAAGATATGAGTCCTGAGGCAGAACCAAGACAGTTTGTTGCTCACAGCAGTACTGTAGCATGGCACCATCCTTTTCACACCGACTCCCCAAGGCCCAGTTTCCAAGAAGCAAAGGAAATGGGCAGGTGATTCCTGCTATTTGCTCCAGAGAAAAACTATAATTTTTAAGGCCACTCACTATAAAAATATGCTTGAAAGTATAATCTGGAACAGAGGGACATTTTTCTATACATGGACAAGCAGTCCATTTATATAAGTTTATATAAATGGACTGCTTGTCCATGTATAGAAAATAAATAATTTAGGCATTGCTGGCCACATACAAATCCCCCACACGTTTGTTCTTCTTCATAGTTCTTATCATTAATATTATTATTGCTAAGTTATAACCCCTTAAATCAGAAACAGCTTGTTAGGCATTCATGAACAGTTCCTAGGCTTCCTACCCCCGTTTGCTAGTCTCTGATCTGGATTAGTGGCAGTCAGTGTCTACTTGCGAGACATGAAAACACAAGAGACCCTCAGAGAATTTTCTTCCAAAAGTAGTTGAAATATTACATAGTTTTGGGTCATCAGTCTGAGCAAAATAGTTGTTTCTGACATCAGTAATCATTCAATAACAAGGCATATATACAATCTAAGAAATATTATTTGAGAAATATATAAATAATCCTATTAAAACTTGATTAGTTAACTGAACTCCAGTAGCTCATTACCTGTAATCCTGCTATTTGGGAAGGTAAAATTGGAAGGATCACAGTTTGAGGCTAGCTCAGGCATACAGAAGAGACTCCTTTTCAACCTATAGGTGAGTGTGGGAGTGTGCACCTATAATCCTAACTATGTATGAGGCTTAGATCAGGAGGATTGTTACTTTTTACAACCTAACTTCAGGTAAAGAGAGCAAACTCACCAGTCATTCTGATAAAACTCAGCAGTAGAAGAGAATTGTACCCTCTCTGAGTTGTGATTACCTTCACTTACTTACAGTAAACTTGTTTACAGATGCCCTGAAGACATAGGCCATGCAGTTTCTATCTTCTCTTCAAATCATATAATTTTAAACTCTTCTTTTGTCCCTTGGATGATAACAGGTAGTTGATGAGAACTTAATGAAAGTTGCTCATTCAAACTATTTTTTCCTCCCAATGTCATTAATTTTTATGAGTATTAAAATGTAATACATAAAATTTTAGACAAAGATACCTCTTTTAAAGGCAAAACACATTGTCACAATGATTTTACTTACAGATTAAGAAAGGCTTTGCACTAAGGTGACTGAAGCAAAAAGCTCAAGAGTTCATGACTAGTCTGGGCTACAGGGTGAGGCCTGTCTTAAAAAGTAAAGAAAAATTACTAAGAGGACAACTGATAAATGTGAATTCAACCTGTTTGCCTAGCCAACATGTAGACTTATTGCACACTTGGACACCACAGCCGTCTGATTTAACCTAGAAGCATTGCATTCATTTTGCCTTTGTTTAATCACTTTTCTCTGGCTGCTTACAGATTAAAGAGCACTGCTGTTACAGAGTATAAACTCATTGACTTGCTTTTTATTTTTCATTAATGCAATCTTATTTAAAATTATTAACAGTCCTACTTTGATTTCCTTAGGTCTTTATGGCTTGTCTTAAAGCAGAAAGGGATATATCTTTTGCATCCTATTGGAGTGAGAGAAACTGCCAAATGCTTAAAGAGACTTGGTAAAGAGGAAAGTTGGAAGAAGCTAAGGAGTAGCCAGACATATTCTAGGAAACTCATATGAGTTTCATAATCAATGATTTTTATGGCTTCTTTTCCTCTTGTAGAATGAGAATATAGTATGTCTTCCTAAAGCAACATGCATGAGATTCAAATAAGTACTATCAACAAAAATAAAAGTGAATTTTTTAGTCTTTTCATTTACACATTGTAATCTCAAAATGTAATCATGTTGTCAGATTCCAGATAACAGCAATTGGGCAGAGAGGCCCTGAGGATTTTCTGTGACTAGGTTATTGATAATTATATTTGAAGAATAATATCCTTGAAGGAATGAAATAGTGAATACCATTTGCTCATTCTTTTTCAAAAGTATTTAGTCCAGTACCTTTATGCAACTAAGCACTTTTGAACTATAGAACAAATGACATAGATTCATGTTTGTTTTTGCAGTTTTGAAGTAGAAAATCTAAATGAACCAACATTACCTTGCTTTTTCTTTCAGGAACACATGATTCTATGCAGATTTGCTGATCAGACAGCTGTCCAGCTTCCACCCCAACGAAGGCTCGTTGGTATGTGTTTTCACAGAGCAGCTGTTGAGTAGACTGTGCACAGTATACCCAGGAATAAGTGGATCAAGTCTGTATGGGAAAAACTGATCAATTTATCAAAAAGAAACTAAAAATGGTTCTTCCTAAGAAACTATCTTGAAAAGGGCCTTGTAACTATAATAACACTTTTATTCCATTTTGGTTAATGTTAATACTTTGAAATACATCTTTAGTGTTGGTACACTGAATAGAGCCTTGTGTTAAATCTTTTTTTACTGTTATAAACTGCAGAATCTAGTAAAAGCCACAGAAGAATACTAAAGATGGAAAAATCAGCTGTGCTTGCTAGAATTGATGCAAAAAAAGTATGAAAACAAATGAGTAAAATATTTTCTTTCTTAGAATAATTTATTTAACATTTGTAATATTAAACATTACCTAAAGTTGGAAGACAACCGAAGTATTTCAAGTTTATGACTTAGCAAAGACTACTTTAGAAAAAAAGAGATAAAATTTAGACAAATAGTAGCAACTGTTATTATATACTTAAACACTGAGTTAAATGCCCTCTCAGTAAATTCTTATAAAAGTTCTTAAGGGACAAGTACTATTATTTACATTTTAATGATGAGACTCCCAACACAAAGGTTTACCTGATGTTCTTCATCTGATAGATGATGGAGCCCCACTATGAACTCAAATTGTTTGATTCCAGATGTTGAGTTCCTATTCATTTTTGCAGTACTGCTTCCCGACACTCAGAAGTTCTATCATTAGAAGTTTTAGTTCTCAAATCTGGGCTTTGGATAGATGAATCAAAACTAATCTTAAAAAACTATTCGGAGGGCTGGGAAGGTGGCTCAGTGGTAGAGCGCTTGCCTTGCATGCCTGAGGCCCTGGGTTCGATTCTCCAGCACCACATAAGCAAAAAGAAAAAAAGCCAGAATTGGCGCTGTGGCTTAAGTGGTAGAGCACTAGCCTTGAGCTAAAGAGCTGAGGGACAGCGCCCAGGCCCAGAGATCAGGCCCCACGACGGACCAAAAAAAAAAAAAACACTATTCGGAGAAGCCTCATATTGGACAATGTCACACTTTCTATAATTCCATTGTAGTTCATTGTATGCTATATTGCTGTTTCTTTGGCTGAGTACTAGATGAAGTAATTAGCCTGTGTTTAGAGATGATGTTTCATAAGTAATACTTTTAAATTTTGAAATCTAAGTCAGTATAGCTGGTGCTTACATCTGGAGAGGCATGAAAGACCAGAGATGGAAGGAGTGGGAGGTTGCCTTCTCATTTTCATACTCTGAGCATAAACATACAGAAGGAACTTGCTCTCTCCTATGTGAAACCTCTCATTCTCTTTTCTTGTTCCTTGCTCTTTTTCCCATTCCCAACACTTGGAGTTAGTGAAATGTGCATTTGATAGAATTCCACTAGACCGATGTGTTAGTCTATTTTATGCTTCTATAACAGACAACCACAGGCTGGATAACTTACAATTAAGAGAAATTTATTTGACTCACAGTTTTGTAAGGTAAGAAGTCTACAGGGATTGCATCTGGTGGGGATTTGTTCACTGTATCATAACATGGTGGCAGGTGTCACGTTGCAAAAGAGAGAGCTAGAGACAGATGGAAGGAAATGCTTGTCTGAGAAGGAACCAGATTTGTCCTTTTTCTGCTACTGAGGCTTAAATTCAGGGCCCTGCACTCTCACTTGACGTTTCTTGCTATGTCATGCTGGTTAATTGTAGATAGTCTTTTTCTGTCAGGGCTGGCTCTGACCTGAGATTCTTCATGTCTAAACTTTCTGATTAGGTAGTATTAAAGATAGGAGCCATGAGCACCAAGCAAACTTACTTTTTCATAAGGAGCCCACCTGTAATAATAAATTCACTCCTTCAAAAACAGCATTGATTCACTGTGCTGATGGACTTACCACCTCTCATTGGGTCCCTTGTCCCTGCACAGTTATATTGGGAATTAAGTTTCCATCACATGCTCTTTAGGGGACACAGTTAAACCATCACAGCTCAATGAAATTAATTCCTATGTGGACAGATGTGTTCATGGTAGATGTGAGTTTTAAGCACTAAACCAAAGGACAATGGCTGATATAAAAGCTGCTAGACTAGAGAGGGAGGAATATTTGGCAAGATTGCTAACTGGAAGAGGGGTTGGAAGGAGGGCTTGGGTAGAATCTGATTCATACAAAACCAGATCTCATTTTTGCTGTGTACATGTCATCTCTGTGTTCTGTAAGCATTCTTAGGAAGCAGCCTACCAGTCCCCTACAATGGACTGAGAACAACCAATCAATCCCAATTGCAGTGAACTCTGTAATTGAAAATAAAGCATTCTTCTTACTGATAAGGAAAAATATGACTTGAGTAGGATCAAAGTCAAGGATAAATGACCTATAGTGTGAACCCAAGGTGGATACTGGAAGATGTAGAACATTCCAACACTGTCAGAGAATGTTTCATTTTAAACTGAAATGTAGGTGAAGAAAACCTTTATAGCTGTGTTAAAGGAAAGACAATATTATAAGGGAAGAAAACGAATGTCAGCCATACAGCTGTTGGGAAGATGGGTTAATTTTGTATACATGAAATTCTAGACATGTCTTTATGTCACATTTTCTAGTTGCTCTGGTTTTTTGTTTTTCTTTTTTTGCTTTCTCCTCCCCGCCCCTCATAGTTTCTACTTGCTTTGGTTTGGATGGGGTGGGGGGTTGTTGTTGGTTTGGTTTGGTTGGTTTTTTGTTTGTTTTGTTTTCTGGTCTTTTATAGCATTTTTTTTCCTGAGCTGAGACCCAAACCTAGGGCTTTGCACTTGCCAGACAAGTGCTCTTCCATTGAGCTAAATCCCCAACCCCTTCTAAATTTCTAACTTTCACAATTTCTAAAAAGTGTAAAACATCACCTTTTTAAATCTGAGCCTTTGGTTGGTTCTTACCTACTGATGTCACTGGGTTTTTTGTTTTTGTTTTTGGTGAGGATTCTTTCTCACAGATGCATTTTCTATTTAGCGACTTTTCTTCAATTTCTGAAGCTGTTTTAGCTTAGTAGTGTAAATTATGATATTTAAAATAATGATTAGGCTGTATAAGTGGTGAAGACAAATGAAATGAAGAAGCTTACATGAAGTTTACAATTGAAATTATGAATGTAAATAATGGCTTTGAACAGATTAAGCCTCAATTCATTTTTCTGAAGTTTGAAGTTTTATTAGCCAAAGGAAAACAAATTATCTCCCTTGTTTACCAGTCAGCTTTCCTCTTTTGTTTCACTAAGATTACAGAAGAAATATTATATAGTTATTTTATGGGACCAGAGAGCTCTGAAAATTAAGATTTTATACTCAACATTACTTGAAATAATCAACACACAAGTGAAAATTTTCTAGTATTTTTCATTTTTTATTTCTTCAAAGTCCTGAAAAACTCCAGATAGAGAATGTAACATTTCTTTAAGATAGATGTTTATTGGCATATTACTTTAGATAGTCAGAGGCAGATTTTTTTTTCCCCTTTACAGCTAATATAGTAATTCTGTGTGTGTGTGTGTGTGTGTGTGTGTGTGTGTGTGTGTGTGTGTACACGGCCTTGAACTCAGGGCTTGCACACTGTCCCTTAGCTTTTCCACTAACCGTTGGTGCTCTATCACATGAGCATATACCTCCATTTCCAGGCTTTTGCTGGAGATAAGAGTCTCATGCACTTTCCTGCCCAGGCTAGCTTCAAACCATGAGCCTCTGGTCTCAGCCTTCCTGAGTAGCTAGGATTACAGGAATGTGCCACCACACTGTCTTTCTGTAAGAATGCAGAGCAAAGATCTTTAAATGGATCTTTAGCTGAAGAAGAAATGAATCTTTATTTTGACATTTATTGGTAAATACATTTGAGGCTATTAGCATTCTTTAAATTATTAGCAGATAAATCTTTGAAATATTGTCTGCTGTCTTTACACATTGATCATGAATTAAATTGAAAGATGTTCATCGGGACTTAAGGGTAAGCACTATTTTGCATAGACATAAAATTTGTTCTAAAGAAACTAAAATGGTACTGCTAGTAGAAGGGTCTTATGATACCCTTTGACTGTTTTTCAGGAAAACAGTGCATGTGCCTGGTGGATCTGGACCGAGCAAGAGCTGCAGAAGAACATGGCTACTCTGTTCAAGTGATATCCATGGAACCAGAGAGCTGCTCTCCCAAAAATAACATGATTGTGGGAGTCCCTATTTAGAATGCGATGTTTATTTTTGATGTTTGCCATTAGCTTTGTGAGGAAAGTCTAGGAGAATCCTGGTGGTGCTTGGTATATCTAGAAAACAGCATTAGCCATCCTAAGCCTATTTTACTCATTGGGAAAGCAATAGGAACATCTTGGAAGAAAGGCTGCCCACAAAGCATCTTAAATGCTCTTAGAATGGTTTTCACGGTTAAAATCCTCTGAAGTTTCAGCTGCCAAAAGAATAATGCCAGTGAAGGTTCTATCACTGGAATAACAAGTTGCTTCTCAGTTCACAGGCTTTTCTGATCTTGCCAGTGAGATATTCAATTCAAAACAATGTATTTGCTGCCTTTATTATCCTTTAGTATTCACACCTGGAGATTGAAACTAAACTCAGTGGAGGGTTGTTTTGTATTTTTTACCTTTGTACTTTTCTATATATTTTTTAAAAATCTAGAAATATAATTATACTATATTTTATTTTTAGGCTGGTGTTACCATTTAGTATACTTCTTTTTAATATATTTTCCATAACCTGTCAAATGAGATCATCACTAGTTGAAACATTTTTCTGTGAAGAGATTCAAAATAGTTTCAGATAAGACCATGGGTTTGGGACATAACACTAAATAGTAAACACAATTATTACTTAATTCAACTATATAACTAATAATTTGGAATCTAAAATGTTCAAGACCCAGATTTTTCTGAAAATACAAAGACAAATTGCAAGAGACAGTGCTTTGCTTACAGAAAATAATCATCTATGAAAGACTGATGAATTACTTAAGTGCATTATGTCATAATGTATGGTCTTATTTGTATTTTTTTTAAATCTCACTGAGCATAAATTGTGAATGTGAGTAATGCAGACCAGGGAAGCTTATTTGAACAGTTCTCTCTGCCTAAGTTCTTTTATCTACCAGTCAACATCTTTAGATGCAGTTAACACATCCTTTTGCATGTGCTGCTGTTGATTTAACTTTGCATATCCTAGTTTATTCCACTAAATTCATTTCACTACTCTTGTTGTGGTTTAAAATAAAGGAATAATTTCATATAGGCCAGTATTCATGGGGAGGGAGAAATGTTTTGTAATTTTATGTTCTGGGATAAAATTTAAGAAAACAAAATTTAGACATCAACCCTATTTTAGTCATTAGTGTCCATACATACATGTTCTTTCATCTTGGACTTTCCTTTTTAAGTGGAAATATAATTTATATATAACATGTTTTTGAGTGTTCTATTTGAAAAGTTTTGATAACTGTATATACCTACACAAACCCATTCAAATATCTGATGAATATTTTCATCTATCAACATCTGGTATTTTCCTCAGATATTATCAGATATATTAATATTTTTCCAAGGTTTACTTGACACAATTTCTAATGAATGTTTTAATTTTAATGAAACTTAATATACCTCTTTTTTATGGTTGATAATGTCTGTGTTCTTTCTAATAAATCTTTACTTGCCTGTGTTAGTCATTTTCCATCATGGCGAAAGATTACCTGAGAAACACAACTTAAAGCAGGTAAGACTTAGTTTGTCTCATGGTTTCAGAGGCTCCAGTCCAGGGTTTCTGTTTCTGTTGTTTTGGGGCCTTTAGTGATGAAGTAAATTGTCATAACAGGGCATAGCAAAGTAATACAACCCAGCTCTCTGTAGCCAGGAAACAGAGAAACAGGAAGGGTAGGGGGACAAGATACGTTTTTCAAAGACACGCTCAATGCCTACTTAGGTAGGCTCCACTTCATAAGGAACACACACACACACACACACACACACACACACACACACACACACACACACACACACACACACACACACACACACACACACACACACACACACACACACACACACACACACACACACACACACACACACACACACACACACACACACACACACACACACACACACACCCATAAGAGTCTATCAATGGATTAGTCTATTAATTATGTCAGAGCTCTCATGATCCAGTCACTTCTCAAAAACCTGTCAACTGTCAGCCAGGCCTTTACACATGAACCTTTGGAGGAACATTTTTTTTTTGGGGGGGGGGTTCGGTCGTGGGGCCTGAACTCTGGGCCTGGGCACTGTCCCTCAGCTCTTCAGCTCAAGGCTAGCACTCTACCACTTGAGCTACAGCACAACTTCTGGCTTTTTTCTTTTTGCTTATGTGGTGCTGAGGAATTGAACCCAGGGCTTCAGGCATGCAAGGCAAACGCTCTACCACTGAGCCACCTTCCCAGCCCCTGGAGGAACATTTTATACCCAACACTGCCCTAAGACTGAAAAATTTTACTATGTTCCCTTTTTTTTCACTTTAAGTAGTTTTAGTTCACATTTAACAAAGTAGTTTATGAATACAATACATCTTGATCAATGTCACCCCTTTCATTATTCTCTCATCCCTCCCAAGCCCACCTCTTCCCTCAATTTTCTTAATTTTATAGGATATGCATTGAATTTTATCTCCCCCTTTCTACTGTTTTTGTGCCAGAACCACACACACTAAATGATAGTAACTTTTTTATTGTGTTAAGTATATATATATATATGTATATATATATATACACTTAAGGTATATACATACTTATATATTTATATATAATATATAATAAGATATTAACACTTATATAAATACTTATATTAAGTATATATTAATTAATTATATATTAAGTTATATAAAATACAAATTTTACATTAAGTTTTGGCAGCTGGCAAGATATTTTATATTTGGTAATCATGTAAATTGTTCTTGACCTTTGATACAGAACATGTGTGAACCCTCCTGAAATTATATCTGGTCATTTCAATATCTCTACGTTTTCCTTGAGAGAGGGACTGTCATGTTAGTTAGATTTTCCAAAGGATTCATGACCCAAAGCAACATCAAGTATGACTAATCTAAAGTAAGCAAAGCCTTTGTGCTAGTCAGCTTTCTGTTACTATAACCTGTGCATGATATAATCAACTTGTAACAAGCAGAGGTTTCTTTTGGCTCCCAGTTATAGGTTAAAATGAGAATTCCCCTTATCCCTCCCTGCTTTGAGCTTTTGGCAGCAGGAGGCAACAGCGGAGTCAAATCATTCACCTCATGACCTGTACATAAGAGAAGAGAAGAGGGGTTCACATCCCCTTCAAGGACAATGAAGTGAGTCTACTAAGACCCAACCATTTAAGTGTCTCCTATCCCCCAACAGTGCCAAGCTGGTAAATCATTAACATGTGAAACTTTAGGAAACCTTCCACATCTAAATTTTAGCAACATTATAACAGAATAATGTTATGTTCTCCAGTTTTAAAAAAAAGCCAGATATTAAAATATGTTCTAGTATTTGTAATTAAAGAGTCATCATTTGCTTTGGTAGGACTTCTTTTTCATAGCATTATTTTTTAAAATTAGTTTTTTATTGTGAAAATACTGTACAGAGATGTTACAGTTACATGAGCAAGGTAATGAGTACATTTCTTATCAGGCATTGTTGCCTCCTCCTTTGTTTTTCCCCTACCATCCCTTCTCTCCCATCTCCAAAGCTACACTCCCCCCACTCCCCTGGCTAAATTGTAAAGTTCGTTTTTCGACATAGCATCTTGTACATCTCATTGTTGCAGTGGGTCAATCTGTATCCCTATTTAAACAATTTGTTCCCCCCCCCCCCCAAATTATACCAACATCAAATACAGTGGAAACAGGAGTTATACCGTGGAGGAGGGACATACAAAGCAAAAAAAAAAAAAAAAAAAAAAACAATAGCAAGAAAGAAAATACCACTTGTGTCCTTATCATTTCACTTAACATCATCTTATCTGACCTTTTCTGCTTGTCTCAGACATATACTAGTTATTGCAAATAAGGGAAACCATGGGGCCTATATTTCTTTGGACCTGGCTTACTTCACTCAATACAATTTTTTCCAAGTCTTTCCATTTCCTAACAAAGAACTCTAATAACAACAGATGCTGGAGGGGATGTGGACAGAAGGGAACCCTACTGCATTGTTGGTGGGAGTGTAAACTTGTTCAACCACTTTGAAAAGCAGTATGGAGGTTCCTCAAAAGACTCCACATAGAGCTCCCCTATGACCCAGCAATCCCACTTTTGGGCATTTACCCAAATGATCACAAACAAGACCAGACTTTTAGCTACCAGCACAACTATGTTTATAACAACATTATTTACCATAGCTAAGATATGGAAGAAAATGTGGTATATATATATATATATATATATATATATATATATATATATATATATATACACACACACATAGCATTTAAGTGCCAGGTCACTTGTTTTTGTTTTTAGGACGTTTGTCTGATTTTAATAGTAACTGTACATAATCAAGTAAGGAAATAAATTCAGCACCAAGTGTGTATTTACTGGATGAGTCATCTAAGAAGTCCTTGAGGTTCCACAGAATGAGTCAGAGAGTCAGATACTGTGACATTTTCTTTTCCTTAGCAGAAGAATTATTGTCTAACTATTGTGGTTTCTCAGCCACTCACTGATGGCTCATGTCTGTAAGCCTAACTACTCAAGAGGCTGAGATCTGAGGATTGCTGTATGAAGCCAGCCTGGTCAGAAAAGTCCCCACAAAACTCTTATCTCCAATTAACCACTCAAAAACCAGAAGCGGTGCTGTGGCTCAAAGTAGTAGAGTGCTAGCCTTGAATGAAAGAGCTCAGGGACTGAGGACAAGCCCTGAATTTAAGACACACAACCAACAACATAAAAATAAATAGAATGGTATCTCCCAGTTCCTCTATCTCCCACAGTAATTTGTGCATATGTTTATTTCAAGTTCATTACAAGAATTTAAATATTAAGCACTCTTTTGCCCATCATATGTTCAGTATTTAATTTCACATCTAGTACATTAAGTAGGAATTCAATAAACATAGTGTGAATTGTTTCCTAACACCTATGGGGGATATATATGTGAGAACTACCATATATTACATTGTTTTGTTTTATATTTGTTTTGTTTAATGTCCTTAAAAGATACGAAGCCTCGTTCTAAATGTGGGTGACACATACCTATAACCCTAGGTATGCTGGAAGTAGTAGAATTGTGCTCTGAGAGGCAAAACAAAAACCACCTGCAAAGTTAAACAAGTAAAACTGGAGGCATGGTTCAGGTCCTTGTACATGCAAGCTCATACATCAGTACTACCAAAAAAGGAAACAAATCTAATGCTAAGTGGTTGCTAAATGCCTTGAATCTTCTAAATAATCCTCTGAAAATGACGTTGGTCAGTTCTGTGGTCTCTATGGGGAAAGAAAAAGAGAATAGCTTAAACTAACAAATGTTAGTTTAATAGTTACCATTGTTTACATGTCCCAGCATACAGCATAGTTCAAACTGGTTGCTTAATAAGGATCTGTTGCATGATGGCTATGGAGTGACCATCAAGGAAAGAGTGGAATGTACACTCTGGGGGATGTCAGTGATAAGGGAGAAGCTTGCTCTAACTAGGCTCTACCCTTGGCCTGCATCTCAGCCAGAGCATATGCATATGCAGAGCCCTGGAAGTCCTGCACACTAACTGTGGCTGAGGGTTCTCTCTCTGCCTTGAGCAACCAGCTCACTGATCTGAAAATAAGGCAAGACTTACTATGGTTTTGGCAAGTAGTATACATTTTGTTAAGAAGGACAATTTTGTCCCTTAAAAGTCTCAATAATTAGGGGGAAAATATGTAGAACTTGTTAGATATACATGGAAATTCACTATAGGAGTAAAATTTTCTATTGATGGTCTAAACTGGCTTATATACACAAACAACTAGGAATTTATATGATAGTAATAAATGACATTTTTGTACAAAAGTCAGGTTTACTTCATTGAAAATTTATAAAGTTATACCTTTTCTTTGATGCTAACCTACTTGTTCACATTGGGTATGTCATAAATCACCTCAACTTATTTTGAGCTTAATGGCACTAAAAATACATAAATGTATTCCTAGGTACATAGCAACTGCTCTTTATAATCTTTGGAGCTCAGTGAGCTGCAATTAAGAGTGATGACATTGATATTCTTTGAGCAGGCTTTCAACTGACTACTTGCAGACATGTCATTGATGAATTACTATTAGCCAGTTGCTTAGGAAAACAATTGTGTATATTTTATATTAATTTCAAAGTGATATATTCAGTTCCCAAATATCCTGATATATTAAAGTCAATCTGATTTTTAAAGACATCCATAACAAGAGACTTAACCTCTCCCAGTAAATCTTCCGTGTATTTTTATTTCAGTTCTATTTTAGCCAAATTCCACATGCTACATTTTAAATATATCCCGGGTACTAATGCCATTGGAAAGGGGCAACAGCTATGAAGTAACTTTCCTTTAAGTATTGCTCCTTTAACTACTATTTTTATTTTTTTTTTTTTTTTTTTTTTTTTTTATTGTAAAGCTACTATACAGAGGGTCACAGTTACATGAGTGAGGTTATGAGTACACTTC